TGATTTTTTGATTTATTGTAGAAATGAGGTCTCGCTGCCCAGGCGGGTCTCGAACCCGCTAATTTTTTAGTTTATTGTAGAGACGAGGTCTTGCCAAAATGCCCAGACTGGTCTCGAACCCCTGCCCTCAGGCAATCCTCTCACCTCCGCCTCCCAAAGTGCTGGGATGACAGGCGTGAGCCACCAAGCCTGGCACTGTGGCCTTCGTTAATGAAGGCTCTCATTTTTATAAACAGATGGTGAAAGGGCAGAGCCAGAGAGTTGAGCGACAGGCCCTCTCTGGGCCTTAGGGTCCTCCTCCGGGAAGAGGAGCTGATGCTGGAAGCTTCCTACCTCAGGGAACTGTGGTGAGGGGGAAGGGAAGTCGTGCGGCTGTTGCGCTTCCCCGGGGAGCGGCAGGTGTGGGAGCATTTTGGCGGGTTAGCAAGGCCCTCTGGTCTCTCTGTCGGTCTCCCTTGGGGTCTCTTTCTTTGCCCCTCTTGGTGTCTCTCTCGTTTTATTTCTCTGTCTACATGTCTCTGCTTTTCTCCTTCTCTCTGAGCTTCTCCCTCTGTCTCTGTCTCTCCCTCGGCGGCAGTCTCTGGGCCGAGCCTCCCTCCCTCTGCCCTGGCCTCACCTCCTCACCTCCTCATGGACCTTCCTCAAGAACCGGATCTCCTCCTCCAGGGACTCGATCTTCCTCTCCAGATCCAGACGGGCCAGGGTGGCTTCATCTGCCTCCTGGCGTGGGAGGGGGCAGAGAGCCACTCTGATCTCAGGTTGTGTCACCCCTCCTTCTGGGGCAGAGGAGCAGCGTATGGCTCTGGAGGGCTGAGCCCAGGGCTGTGGGGGGGCTTGCCATCGTCCCTCTCCCGCCCCCCACCTCTCTGACCTGTCTGTAGGCCGCCAGGTTGTTTTCTGCCTCCAGCCTCAGGTTGGTTTCATCCTGAAACCTGGGGTGGGGTGGGGGGACACATTCCTGGGTCCAGGCTCTTCTGAGGACTCTTGAGTCCCTGTCCCAATCTCCCTGGAGGTGGCTGTCACAGAGAACCCCAGGACGGGCAGAGTGGCAGGAGGGATGAGGGTCAGGGGCCCTAGGTGGAGGCCTCAGCGGGGAGGGAGAGAGAGGAGGGTTTTGGCTTTACGTCATCATGAAAGGGCCTTCTCAGGGCTGTGCACTCGGCGTGCTCTCATGGGTGCGTCCACCCACGCACTCGTGCTGCGGGCACACACACACCCTCCTGCACTGAAGGGTGTACACATGCACGCACGTACCACCCCCCGCCCCCGCACAGTTAAGGGACACGTGCGTGCCTGGCCAGCTCAGCACAGCGTCGTGCCCCTGGCGACTGCTCTGACTGCCTCTTGGAATGAATTTTCTTGGCCGGGCTCGGTGGCTCAGCCTGTCATCCCAGCACTTTGGGAGGCCAAGGCGAGTGGATTGCCTGAGCCCGCAGGTTCGAGACCCGCGTGGGCAACTTGGTGAGACCTCATCTCTATAATAAATAAAAAATTAGCCGGGCGTGGTAGCGCGCCTGTTGTTCCGGCTACTTGAAAGACTGAGGCGGAAGGATCGACGGAGCCCAGCAGGTCGAGGCTGCGGTGGCCGGGAGTGTGCCACTGCACTCCAGTCTGGGCGATGGAGTGAGACTCCAACTCAGAAAACAAGAAAAGAAATGAATTTTCTTACGAGCTCTACTTCTCAGCCGCGCAAGTCAAAGTGCCTCAACTGGGACCACCAGCTGGTGACAGGCAGTCGCCTGGGTTCTGCACCCAGGGTGGCGGGCCCTTCCCGCTGCCTCCACCCCAAGTCCCCTCATGGACGCCAACCTTCTCCTCTTCCAATTTCTCTTTTTTTCTTTTTCTTTTTTAGAGAGAGAGTGGTTGGGCCTTGCTCTGTTGCCCAGGCTGGAGTGCAGTGTTGTGATGATAGCTCACTGCAGCCTCAAACTCCTGGGCTCAAGTGATCCTCCCATCTCAGTCTCCCGAGTAGCTAGGCTACAAGCACATACCATCATGCCTGGTTAATTTTTTTTTTTTTGAGTTGGAGTCTCACTCTGTCACCCAGACTGGAGTGCAGTGGCCGCTCCTGGCCACCGCAGCCTCGACCCGCTGGGCTCCGGCGATCCTTCCGCCGCCTCAGCCTTCCGAGTAGCCGGAACTACAGGTGCACGCTACCATGCCCGGCTCATTTTTGATTTATTGTAGAGATGAGGTCTCGCCAAGTTGCCCAGGCGGGCCTCGAACCCGTGGGCTCAGGCAATTCACTCACCTCAGCCTCCCAAGGCGCAAGATTATAGGCTGAGTCACCGAACTCGGCTGGCTCATTATTTTTTGTAGAGACAGTGTCTCGCAGTGTTGCCCAGGCTGGTCTCGAACTCCTGGCCTCAAGTGATCCTCCTGTCTTTGCCTCCCAAAGCACTGGGATTATAGGTGTGTGAGCCAACATGCCCTGCCCCAACTCCTTTATACAGACCCCAGCTCAGAAGAGGTCAGCTCCCTGCCTTAGTCTCAAGGCCCAGCGTGAAGGAAACATCAAGATCAGCCTGCCCGGACCCCTGCCCTGTGTTCTCCCATGGAGAAGGGCGGTGTTTGGGAACCAGATCCTGGGGCCCTGCCCTACCTGGTCCCTCTTATTGTGTTGGGAGCAAAGCTGCTCCCCAGAGGTGGGGAGACCTGGAGAGCAGGGAGATCCCACCCCTGCCCACCCCTGCAAGCCCATGGCCACTCCATCCCCCTCCCTGGTCCCCTCCTCACTTCTGCCTCAGGGTGCCCAGGTCCTGCGCCAGGTTGTCCCTCTCAACCTCAAGCCGGGCACTGCTGGCAGTGAGCTGGTCCAGCCGCAGCCGCAGCTCACGCAGCTCAGCCTGGTACACGTCGGCCAGCTTGGTGGGCTCCTTGGCCCGCAGCTGGTTCAGCTCTGCCGCCAGCGCCTTGTTTTGCTGCTCCAGGAAGCGAACCTTCTCAATGTAGCTGGCGAAGCGGTCGTTGAGCTCCATCATCTCTGCTCGCTCGCTGGCCCGGGTCTCCTTGAAGCCAGTGTTGAGCGCCCCAGCCAGCGAGAAGTCCACCCGGGCCGGGAGTGGTGGGGGCATTCGGGCCAGGGAGAGGCGGGTGCCGGGGCCCAGGCGGCGGCCAGCGCCCAGGACGCCCCCCACCATCTCTGCTGAGGAGACAATGTAGGAGCGGCGTGAAGACACACGTCGCCTCTCCATCCTGCCCAGGCTCCAGGGCTCCCGGCCTGAGAGGGCTTTATGAAGGCCTGAGCCAGACCCCCACGGCCTGCTGCCCTGGCAATGCCCTGGGCATAGCCTGAGGGGGAGGGGTTGGGCCACAGCCCAGCCATGGGGAGAGCTCCTCTCACGCCATCGAGGACACTGCCCAGAGGCAGGGCTTCCTGGGCACACCAGCCCCCTGCTTGGGCGTGGTGCCCTGACCACTGAGCCAGGAGACCCTGTCTCTAGGAAGGTGGCTCCAGAAGCGGTTGGTTGGACCACCAGCATTATGTCCAATTATTATGCATCAATTGAAAAGGAAGGGAGGGAGGGCTGGACCAGCTGACCTCTGACCTGCCATTCACTCTTAGAATTCCCGAGCCAGGTGTCCTCTCAGTCAGCACCCCTGTAAGTCCCTGCTGGACGCTGGGAATTGGGCCGAGGGAATAGCTTGTGTGGTACATATCTTCCCACGGAGCCACACTCCCAGTGGATTCCCGGAGGCCTCCCCTCTGAACACACATGCCCCATGTGCCTGCCTTCTGTTCCCAGAGCCAGGGTTGGACACCAGCTCTTTGTCTGTAGTGGATCGTGGCCTCCATCTAGCAGTGGGGGATGCAGAGGAGTGTAGCGTCCTGATGGTCCAGGAAGGTCAGCCCTCTCTGGCCGTCTCCCCAGGCTGCTCTCTGACCCCTGGGTCGGCCCACCGGGCTCACCCTCCCTCCCTCGGCCTCCCTGCCCTTCCTCCCAGGCCCAGCCTTGACAGCTCCACAAAGCAGTTACGGATGGGCTGGCAGGGCCGGCAGAGTCTGTTCCCGGCGCCCCGTTTCTTGGCTGCCCCTCAGTCTCAGTTGGAGATTTATCTTCTCCCGTTCCCACACATCAGGCTGGGAAGGTGAGAAAAGCCTCAGGGAGGGGGCGGTTTGGGAACCCGAGGCCCGAGCCGTTGCCCCTGGAGACCTTGGGTCCATCCACCATGGCCACTCTGGTCCCACGGGGTCAGAGCCCCACCTAGGCCGCTCACCCGTCTGAGCCCTCGGACTTCTGGGAAGCAGACAGCCCTCCTCTCCCCCTGCCCCCACCACCCACTGTCCATGCCTGGGCTTCTGGTCCCTTTGCCTGGGCACTGGCTGAATAGAGCCTTGTTTTCCAGCGCCGGTGAGGGCGCCACACAGCAAGGCAGCCCCTGGGGGGCTGTGCTGCCTTTATTCCAAGATGCTGGGCTGTCAGGCTGGGGCCCAGCACAAGCCCCCCGCTCAATGGGCTTCTCGGAAAGCTTCTGAGGGGGCTGGGGTGTGGCGGGAAGCAGGCGGCGTGCCCACCCCTGACCACTGTGTCTGTGCCAAGGTGAGTCACTCTGGACACTGGGAGGAGGCCTCGGGGGCGGCCAGCCCGGCGCTGCCAGGGCTCCCACCAGCAGACAAGGCCTGGCTGCCTGCCCTCCCCGCCCTCAGAGCCAGCGGTGTCCCCACTCCCCACCAGGATGTGATCACAGCCCGGCGAGTTATGGGCTGGCTGCGGGGGCTCCCTCCCCAGTCCCAGTGAGAGGGGGAGGTGAGGGTCCCCAGGGCCCTTGCCACATCGAACCCTGGGCCTGAGCAGTGACACGAGCAGGACATTCTGGGGGCAGGGGGGACAGTTAGTGACCTTTGATCCTGCTGCCGAGGCTCACCCCAATCTCACCTCTGACTGGGAATGGCCGCCCTTCCAGGCGCCCAGCAAATCCCAGCTCGCATGCCTCCCTCCCTCTGTGTTTGGGAGGAATCCAGGTGAGACGAGGGCAAAGCTGTCCTGGAGGGAAAAGATGGGACAAGGCAGGAGGCGCCTGTCATGGAAGCTCCCTGAATTGTCCCTGTGCCTGTGAGACATGAGTCTGTTCCAGCACCAGCAGCTGGAGGCCCCCAGCCTTGGCCCTCAGCTGCCTCCCAGGCCCCTGACACGGGCCCACGGCCCTCCTCAGCGACCACAGGACCCTTGACTGTCCCACCCTGAGCCCTTAACTCAAAGAACCAGTGGGCCAGCGGGCTTGGTCGTGGGTGTTCTCCAAACTTTCATACTCTCTCTCTCTCTTGGATTTATTGTAAAGACGAGGTCTTGCCGTGTTACCCAGGCTGGTCTCGAACCCCTGGACTCAATCCTCTCGCCTCGGCCTCCCAAAGTGCTGGGGTTATAGGCATGAGCCGCTGTGCCCAGCTGATTCTCTTTATTTAAAATTACACATTAGGCTGGGCTCGGTGGCTCAGCCTGTAATCCCAGCACTTTGGGAGGCCAAGGTGAGTGGATTGCCTGAGTCCACAGGTTCGAGACCAGCCCGGGCAACTTGGCAAGGCCTTGCCTCTACAATAAATCAAAAACTAGCCAGGCGTGGTAGCGCGGGTCTGTAGTTCCCGCTACTTGGAAGGCTGAGGCGGAAGGATTGCCGGAGCCCAGCAGGTCGAGGCTGCGGTGGCCGGGAGCGGTCACTGCACTCG